CCCCCATTTTGATTTAGCTTTAAATGACTTTTTTCCACATCAATCTACACGGTTCACCCCATTACAAAGCACTGGAAAAAAAAAGAGAACTGTTATTGTAAACACTTATTATATCAACCTTGCAACATTAAAAAGAAGAAACTGAAATAATGATGTTGCATATTCATAGACTTATCTGAGTACTCGGTTGAAGCACCTTTAGCTTTGCAGATGTGAATTCTTCAGATCCTCTGTCAGTTAGGATGGGGATCGTCGGTGGACAGACATCTTCAGGTTTCTCCAGAGATGTTCGACTGGGCCACTCAAGGACATTCACAGAGTTGTACCTAAGCCTGTGCGTTGTCTTATCTGTGTGCTTGGCGTCATTGTCCTGAGGGAAGGTGGACCTGGACCAGGTTTTGATTAAGGACATATCTATATTTTTCTTTCGGGCCTGCCGCTGAATGGCTTTGTTTGTGCTCTGCTCCTATGCATTCTCAGACCCTTTATTGAGAGTTGTGTGCCGACTGATCCAAATCATGTCCCTTCAATTGAATTAGCCACAGGTTAAAGGGATAGTTCACTTTTAAATTAATTTTTGATATGTTTTAGCTTACCTCAAGGGCATCCAAGATGTAGGTGTCTTTGTTTCCACAGAATTTTCAATTTTGATATTTTTAGGTCAAACCGTTCGTGTCTGTCAGTCATATGGGGTCCACCTTAAAGAGCATGCACAGAGAAGTCCAAATTAAACATGCTTTAATGACTCGTAAATGTAAGTACACATTGACGGCCTAAGACACAAAACGAGCGGTTTGTGTGAGAAAACGAACAGTATTTATATCGTTTTTACCTCGTGTAACCACAGCCACGTCCAACTGATCTGACGGCACGGGTGCTTCGGTCTGCGCATGCGCCGGAAGTGATCGCTTGCGTGCGTAGGTCACTTATTGTTTACACAGAGATTTCCGAAGTTTTACCTTTCACTAAACATATTTAGATACATCGAAATCGTCTTCCATTGCGATTTCCTATATACCGCTCGTTTCTTGTCTTAGGCCATCAATGTGTACTTACATTTACGAGTCATTAAATCATGTTTAATTTGGACTTCTCTGTGCATGCTTTTTGGTGGACCCCCTTAGCCTCCATTATGTGACTGATAGACAAGAACGGTTTGACTGAAAAATATCTGATCTGATCAATATCTTTGACTGAAAATACTGTGGAAAAACAAAGACACCTACATCTTGGATGCCCTTGAGGTAAGCTAAAACATATCAAAAATTAATTTCAAAGTGAACTATCCCTTTAAATACATGGTGGTGGGAAGAAGTGGACATTTCAGATTTGATTCATTACCCATCTAATCTTCCAGCTGTACAAAGACAGTGATATAGAGTAGCAGCGAGTCTCTCAGACATGTGTAATGTTTCCTCACTGAAGCCCCTGGGCTGGGCAGGACGTCTCAACTGCATTCACAACATCGGGAAGAATAAAAGACTTTCAAAAGTGATGGAATTTGACATGTGTGTCAAAGAAAAGTATTAAGTCAATGCTATTTTAAGAGTGGACAATTTTGCGGAGACAAATGAAATAGCAATATCTAGTCACTTAAACGAAAAGAATATTTTAGAATGCATAACTATACAAAATACAGTAGTGTTTATTTGCTTTTCATCCATTGGTGTTTACATTTTATTAAACGAAGCCAAGAATGCAACCACAGAAGGATTAAGGTGAATCAAATGTAACAATTAAAGAATCAACCAGTAAAAAAAAAAAGAGAGACATGTCTAAAAGTATAGCTTTATGCTTCCATGTTTAACAGGTTATTTAATTTTTTTTCTAGTGATAAAGTACGTGAATGAGACGTTTAATAAATAACACTGGATCAAACAAACTAATTAAAACTCAATCCATAAAAGCCCTAAACAGTTCTAAAAATGAAGCACCTGACAGACCCCTTTAAGTTTCTATTTGGAGCCTTTTCAGTTATGACATCTTGTGGCCAAGGTGGGTACTACAACATTTCAACCACTTTTGGGGAGCTTCTATTAGTACCTGCCATTGAACATTTATTATTTTTTTTTTCTAAAAGCAAATCAATGCAACAACACACTCCGTTCTCTCCAGATTTAATTTCTGCTCAATATGATAACCAAAACAAATTTCTATGTCTCAAATCTACAGTCACGAAATACAGATTACCATACAAAATCTACAAAATTCAACAATTACAAACAATTTGTTTAACAAATAACAATTGTACAGTATAAATTTATACAATACTGCATTCATATTTTTGGCACCTGACCACGATATAATTGTGATACAGAAATGTTACGTCAGATGTTTAAAAAGAACAAAAAAAAAAAGAACAAAAAAACTACATAAAATATGCATCGAACATGAAATCGAGCAGTTTTGACCTGCCACTTTTCTTTTTTCAATATTTTTACAAAACAGCAGTTGTTCAAAGATTAAAATAAAACGATAAAAACATTCATTATGTTCATTAACAGTATAGCAGAACCAAATGCACTGCGGTGAGGCATTTGACGTTCACAGGGACATCAAAAACACTGAACATCAGCAGGAAGAGGAGGAGGAGTGTGGATCTCTGTGGCTTCGGCATGATTACTAAAAGCACGACAGAGGGTGATATGGGAACTATTAGGAGCTCTGAATAAACGCCGTCTACCTACCGTTGAATTCAAGTGAAATGGACACGAGAATAGGTACCACATGAGTGCAAGGGGCATTTGAAAAGCAATGGGGTCCTACACTGTAAAAATGAATAATACAATTGTGGCAAAAGATTACAAGCAATATTATTAATTTAATTTAACAAATTAGAATTGAGAAATAATTAAATCAAATTAATTCCTTAAAACTTACAACAAAAACATCCATTTAAAGGGTTAGTTCACCCAAAAATGAAAATTAAGTCATTAATTACTCACCCCCATGCTGTACCAACCCCCGTAAGACCTTCGTTCATCTTCGGAACACAAATGAAGATATTTTTGATTGAATCTGAGAGCTGGATCACTCCTCCATAGACTGCCTAAGGGACTGGCTCTTGACGGCCCATAAAGTCATTAAAGAAAAGGTTTAAATATTTCATGTGCCTAGAGTGGATCAATTATAAGTTTATCAAGCGACGAGACTACTTTTTGTGCGAAAAAAACATAAATAACGACTTTATTCCACTATTCCATTACTTCCTTATGGGCGCATGCGCGAGAACTGAGACGAGGACGTTCTCATTCGTCTACTTCTTGTTACCGGCTGCTCACCGCTTAGGAGTTTTACCGCCACCTACCGTATAAGATGATGTGCTGATATAGCTGGAAGCGCAAAACTTTCTGTTTACAAGCAGAGGAAGATGCGCGCTGTGCACTTAAAAGCCTTTAATCTTCTCAAAAAACGACAGTGTTCCTTATAATCCGGAGCGCCTTATATATGGATCATCATTTTATACGGTAGGTGGCGGTAAAACTCCTAAGCGGTGAGCAGCCGGTAACAAGAAGTAGACGAATGAGAACGTCCTCGTCTCAGTTCTCGCGCATGCGCCCATAAGGAAGTAATGGAATAGTGGAATAAAGTCGTTATTTATGTTTTTTTCGCACAAAAAGTAGTCTCGTCGCTTGATAAACTTATAATTGAGCCGCTGTAGGCACATGGAATATTTAAACCTTTTCTTTAATGACTTTATGGGCCCGTCAAGAGCCAGTCCCTTAGGCAGTCTATGGAGGAGTGATCCAGCTCTCAGATTCAATCAAAAATATCTTCATTTGTGTTCCGAAGATGAACGAAGGTCTTACGGGGTTGGTACAGCATGGGGGTGAGTAATTAATGACTTAATTTTCATTTTTGGGTGAACTAACCCTTTAAGTCACCATTATGGTGATTGGTGTTTGGTTTAGGTTTGTTTCAAAATTACGGTTTTAAATTTTACTCATTTTAAATGGTTAACTTTTAAGGAATAACTTGATTAAATATTACTCAATTCTAATTTGTTACATTTAATTATTAATATTGCTTGTAATCTGTTGCCACAATTCTATTGATTAGATTAGCATTTTTACAGTGTATTACCATTTACACACTTTGAGTGATTCAGTAAGAGGCTGTCAACAATTACATCGGTTCAAGGGGTGAACGGGACGCATAGTTAAAGTCTTCATAGTTAATGAAGAGCATAGTTAAACTCTCCAACATGTGAAGGATTATCATTTCAAAAGCGAGCAAATTTACTGCAACTTAAGCTTGATTAAAAAAAAAAAGCCATATAAAAACCACTCACCCACAGAAACATTGAGTGCGTTTAAGGCAATTCAGTAACTTGATGTTCATGTGTACAATCCAGAGATAAAGAGAAAAGTGATTCTAAAAATCAAAGAAGCTTTGAATCAATCAAGCTTTAGTTCTCGTTCAACGACAAAAACGTTCTGCGCCAATGCAAACGATGCATCACGACACCGATAACCAGGGTGAGCGAACAGGGCTGTAACTGATATTCACCACAACACGTGCATACAAACCACACAAATACTCTCCAGTCCACAAATGCAGATAAACTTGATGTTACATGCTTTTGCTAAAAAACATCAATAAAACCCATCGCTGCATTCTAAGATGGAACTCTTGAGTACACTTTTGCATGCGTACGCGTCTGACACTTCAGATTTATATACAGGCCTACGGTTACTAGAGTACAAACATTAGAAAACTGGAAAAAGAGAACGCAGTTCAATTCATGTCGTTTGAACGGTAGACTGTACGACCAAAACCAGACTAATCCACACTAAACTGAATGTGCGCTTCCAGCACTAATAAGGCTCTTCAGATCGGAAGCATAACGTGGGGAAACTTCCTTGTACAGTTACAAAATCTGCATTGGTCCCATGGGATAATAATACTGTGATCTGCCAGAAAGAATCAGTCGAAAGAAACTAAACTATATGATCTAATCTAAATAAAGTTCAAAACGTCCCCGATATTTAGATCACTAAGGCTGAGGTGTTTAGACAAAAAACTAGTGATGCCACTGCTGTCACGTTTGAACAATGATTCAGGCATCGGTTTTAAAAAGAAAAGAATTCTCTTCTACTTATCTTAAATCCCTGTCTTGGTCACGCTTAAACTGTTGCATCTAATACTCAGAGAAAATAAGAATAAAACTATGTATTTCACATGACATTGAAAGCTCTATTCTAATCAGGAAGTGATTGGAGCTCAGATGAACGCTCTAGTTCCCCCGATTCACTCCATCACAGGCCTCTTGCAGAGATAGCACAGCCAATAACTGTGTGTGTGTGTGTGTCTATTACTAGATCTGGCCAAGCTCAGTCTGATGAGACCCAGATGCCCCACTCTGGAAAAAACACCTGACCCGCCATCATTTCCCTGCTGCGACTATATCAAAAACTAAATTAAAACCCATAAATAAATAAAAGGTTGACGCATGAGGCTGTTCTCAGAACTGTCCTGCACTGCTGGGGTCGCACTGTAGCAGACGCACGATGGATGGGTCACTCTTCGCCCCTTTGATGAACTCCTCCAGAGACAGTTTTCCTAGAATAAAACAGGAGAGGACACAGGCTCTTAGAAAATCATATTATTTACAATGGAAAAATGACGGCTAGCTTTCCGATATCCGGCTCGTTGCGTCAGAATCTGAATCAACCTGTGAAAATATGTCTAGAGAAAAATGTGTTATGGAAATAATGGAAGAGGTTTTTTTTAGCTCATTAAATCTAATAAGCCTTCAGGTCTTGGGGTTTAAAAAAGGGCAGGATATGGTCTCCATTTTGACAGTCAAAAAACAAAGAAACATTCGCATTATAAGGTAATGTAAACTTTCATCTTAATCTCAAAATCTAATTTGACTTGGATTTGAAATGTGTATATAATAAAAAAAAAAAAAAATTATTTTAGTATTCATTTTATTGCAAGAAAAATGGCAAAATTGTAATATTGGATATAATCAGATTTTAAATATAGGGGCATCCCTAAAAACATGTAGTGATTGAAGTTCCCCAAAAGTGCCATGCGCAGCATTGGACAGCAGGGGGCGCTGCCGACTCTCAGCGTTCAAAAGTGAGAGGTGGCGAAGGAATGCGAAGAATCAAAGAACACGTGCGGACTGTTACCCAAGTGAGGAGTGATGAAATAGTACAGAACAGGTCCTCTCACACACATGTGATAACATTAGCATACAGCTCATGTCCTTGTAGCTCATGCATGATTATTTTGATAAAAACACTGCTACAAATGAACATGGTCCTATGTTCTTTAATTTCCTCCCTGTGATCAATAAAGTATCTGTCCGAGTGAGACCACGCTTGTGCTGCTTCCGCAAACAACTGCCCACAGATACACAAATATACACACAGTTTCCATCCCATGAGACTCTGGTCACGAGAGAGCAGGAAACGCAAAAGATCATCTGACCACTATTTCCACTCTCTTCTCTGTATACTCCCATCTGTTTGCTTGTTGATCTTCAATTTCCTGTACACGCACGTAGATAGTCTGAAGCCTTGTTTAACAGCTGATGGGGCTCTTCAAATCACTCAATCATGATGCATTTAAATAAGTTGGAGACTTTACATAGAGAAAGCATAGGGGCAGAATTTGTAAAAAATAAAAAATAAAAATAATATATATATATGAAGAGTTCAGATGCAAAAGCCTCTAAATGCCATTTGAAATTTTCTTCTTTAATGACGATTTTTTATCAAACTTGTATATTTAAGTTCAGTAATTTCACTTAAATGGCAATGATAATTATCTATTAATTGTTATTTAAGTGAAATGACTGAACTTAAATATACAAGTTTGATAAAAATCATCATTAAAGAAGAAAATTTCAAATGGCATTTAGAGGCTTTTGCATCTGAACTCTTCATATATATATATATATATATATATAAACGGAAATTTTAACATTTAACATAGTGACACCAAAATGTATTTTTACCGAAACCGGAAAACTTAAATCAACACTCAACAAACGTATACAAAAAAAAAAGGAAAATAAAAAATAAAGGTCGTTTTTATATTAAATTTTTAATTATATATTATGTTGCTAATTTGGTTTTGAATTCTTAACATTTAAATGTTGGGTGTAATACAACAGATTTTTAAACATATATTAAATAATGAAAAAATATTTATACAGGTTAAGTAGAAATATCATGAATATCTAATATAGTGCAAATAATGAGCAAAATGCTCCTCTTTAGAGCTCTTTGTCTAGCTAATTAATGAGCTACTGTATGGACTAGGGATGCTCATAATTAACCAGTTTACCGACTTTAAGAATTTTCAAAAACCACCCATGTAATTTTTCATAAACCACTGCCAAATAAATTTAAAGGGGTGATGAACTGAGAAATAAAATTTTCCTTGAGCTTTTGACATCTAAGAGGTCATCATATTATAAGAATATCCTGTAAGTTTCAGAACTGAAAACGTCCTTGTCAGTCTAATAAAAGCTTTTATTGACACCAGGCTCAGCAAACGACTCGTTTTTAAAAGTGGGGAACTCACAGCAGTTGGTGTTTACTTCCAAGTCTTCAATGCGAGACGCCCATAAAAACCGAGCGTTTTTGAGCTGGGCTTAAAACTAGGATAGAAAATAGCCTATTATTTATTCATTTTGATGTTTTTTAATGTAAAAACCAAGCGAACGTCATAGGTTGACCTCAGACAACAAATAAAAAACGTATAATTTTTTTTTTAAAAAGCCAGTTCATGACCCCTTTAATGAAAAAAAGGGGGGGGGGGGGGGGGGGGGGGGGACGACGACGACGAGGGTTTACCATCTCGGTTGGTGTCCATTTGTCTGAAGATCTTCTCTGTTCTCTTCTCAGGTGTGGACTCATCCTCTGGCATCTTCATCACTGATGACACCATCTTATAAATCGCCTGTGGGAAACACAATGCACAAGAGATTCCCTCTATCAAAAAATATTATCACATCACAATATACAGTAATCTCATATATTAATGCTACAATCATCAGCATTATCATACCCCAACTGTGTAAAATGTGAAATTTCAATGATGTAAGTCAGACACCACAATGAATCAAGCAGAATCACTATAACGAGGTGGAAAGCCTTAAAGGGATAGTTCACCCAAAAATGAAACATTATCCCATAATTTCTCACCCTCAAGCCATCCTAGGTGTATATGACTTTCATCTTTCAGCTTTATGATGGCAGTGAATGGTACCTTGAATGGATAGATGCACTTTTTTGGGCTTCAAAATCTATCAATACAGTAATCCATACGGCTCCGGAGGGTTATTGAAACGAAACGAAGCAATGCGTTTTTGTTAGAAAAATATCCATATTTATAACATATTTATGACCTCTGACCTGACATAGGGCGTAAGCATAGCGTAAGCTTAGGTGAGATTAGACACCTATCATGGTTTAAACAAACAAACTCAAGCTCCTGCGCCATTCTCTTTAAAAATTCTCGTTTTAGAGACTTCCAATTGGTGACCAGTGTTTTGTTTTGCTCTATCCACGTCGATACTTCCAGACTATAGACTCATAGATGAGAGAATAATCAGCACATGACTGACTGCAGCGGACACAGACTCTACAGACAGCTAATGTGGCATGCATAAACATCATTTAGAAACATGTGCAGTATGATGATCTTCAATGAAGATAATCAAACAAGTACTCAACTGAAAACATTTAAGTAAAATATAATTGTATAGAACTTTTCAAAATAAATCCTGCCCCAAAGTAGCTTTATAGGAAATAGAACCTTACAAATATAATATAATATAATATAATATATATATTAGAGCCCGACCGCTACAAACATTTTTTGGTTTTAAAATCCGATATTCCGATATATCGGCCGATATTTTTTTTTCTTCAGAAACGCGCAACAAAACATTAACAGATTTCCCTAACATTAGTTATTTGTAGTTATTTACAGTATGAGGTTTAACTAAAATAATATGATAATGCATTTTAAAAAGAAACTTGTTTCTTTTATTGTCACAACAGAACAGACTGATAGTGGCATTAGCTAGCTTTATGGTTAGCTAGTCTATGATGAGCCATAATTTAGCAATGGATAACGTCATACTGCAAATTGTTAAACATACATTTTCAGGCCTAGGAGAGATGATAGGTCTCATTGTTATAACTGTCACGCGCTATTAAAGAAATACTTCAGTCACATTGTCAAAAGTTAAAAGGACAGTCAGTCAACTACACTGTAATAACGTAACGTAACTATTGTGCATTTCGTCCGTTTTTATTTTATTTTTGAAATATTCATATATCGGCCATTATAACTGCCGATACTGATAGTTTGGAAAATGCCTAATATCGGCCAATAACATCGGCCTGCCGATTTATCGGTCTGGCTCTAATATATATTATATATATATATATTTCAAAGATTTTTGAGAAATATTTAAACAGTCTCTTATGGCTGCATTTATTTGATTAAACACACAAAGTGCACACACACGCAAAGCTGAATTTTCAGCATCACTAGTCTTCAGTGTCACATGATCCTTCTGAAATCATTCTAACATGATGCTCAAAAAAACATTCATTATTATTATTATAATCTTGAAAACAATTGTGTGCCATTTTTCTAATCAGGCTTCTTTGATGAATAGAAAGTTCTATTTCATTTATTTGAAATATAATCATTTGCAACATCATAAAATGTCTACTGTAACTTTTGATCAATTTAATGCATCCTTGCTGAATAAAAGTAGTGATTTATTTTATTTCTCCCCCCATCTCCCCCCAGAAACACCCCAACCTTTTGAACAGTATTGTATGGCGTTACAAAAGCTTTCTATTTCAGATAAATGCTGTTCATCAAGGTTCAGCTGTTTTCAACATTGATAACAACAATGAATGTTTTTTGAGCATTAAATCAGCAGATTAGAATGATTTCTAAAGGATCACGTCACCTCTCATTCCTCCCAGATCACTGATAATCTTTGGCTACCACTGCTTTCTTCAAACGCCACCAAATATTTTCTGCAAATCTGCAGACTGTCAGGCCACCCAAGAACGACTGATCCCTTAACCAAGTTTAACTAGATTTGTATGTATACTTTGGGATGTTCTGCAGGAAAGTCCATTAATCATCAAGCTTCAGTCTCTGCACCGAAAGAATCACCATTGCTGCCAAAATGGCTTGATTCTTCAAAGAATTCATGAAGTCATTCATACAGTCAAGATTTCCCCCTCCCCATAACAAGACTGGACCACCTCAACGTTTGACCATAGAGATGATGTTCTTCTGCTCGTCAGCGTTGCCTTGTTTGCACCAGATATACCGCTGATCCATGGGCCATATAACTCCATAAAACATTCTTCCAGAAATCCACAAGTCTATCCAAATTAATTTTAGCATATTCAAGCCTGCCTTTTATGTTCTTCTTTGTCATTGTGGAATTGCCTCCTAGTGGTCTAACCCTAACTGAAGAATGTTACATTGACGCTAAAGGGTGCCATGTGCGTTGGATGCATTGTCAAAAGGATGTGAATGCGTTGAAATGTCATGGTACAATGTAAGGTACGAGTTACGAATCCTCAATCTTGGTTTGGTCTTAACAGGGCCTGTAGATCTGAGCAATAACTTGCGGAAAGCAAAGATAAATCAGGCCAATTGCATTAACAGCAAACATAACCATGTGGAGAAGTGCAGTTTGATGAAAGCTTGTTTATCAGAGACCGAAATAAGACTCAGGCTTTCTTTACAGTATGGAGCTTCCTGACAGTCTCACACCACGGCTATCCTTGCAGCTAATGCACTACATTCTGCAAGTGAGAAACAACAACATATGCGATGTGAAAATTGGGTATAGCAGGACTCAGTTGGGTTCTCTTTTGTGTCTCCTTAAGCATTTTCTGATTTATTTCAGACTTAAGCAGTCATGGCGATGATGAAAAAAGCTTTAAATTAGTGCCAACATTAAGGTAAAATCTTAAAAGCTTTAGGTAGCCTGACATACCTGCACAATCTCAAGCATCTCCGACTTGCTGATGTATCCATTTCCATCCAAATCATACATGCTAAACGCCCACTTGAGCTTTTGTTCCAGCTTCCCTCGTGACGTGACACTCAATGCAATTATGAACTCCCGGAAGTCTATTGTGCCGTCGCCATTTGCGTCAAAAGTACGGAACACGTGCTCTGCAAACTTTGAGGCGTCCCCATAAGGGAAGAAGTTTCCGTAGATTTTCTTAAATTCCTCCATGGAGAGGTTGCCACTGGGACAGTCCCGTAGAAAGCCTTTGTACCATTCCTGGATCTCATGCTCCGTAAAGTCTGTGCTCTCCAGCAGGTCCTGCATCACCTCAGGGCGGAGCTTGCTGTTCTGCTTCCCCATGTTTCAGTTTCACAAGACAGCGCTGGAGAAAGAAAGGGAAGAGAGAAGATGAGAATAGATGGAAAGCTTTATAGATTCAAGTTTACCCAGTGTTTTATTATTTTGGTACCCTAATCTGCCTTGATCTTTTATGCCCATAAATGCCAATCATCCCAATTTATTTGTGGCACAGTTAAGACTGTAATACCAGGCCTATTTTGAAGAAGTGCCATCATACACATTTCAATATTGTTCATTCAGTACCCTACAGCAGGGCTCTGAACTGGTTCAAAGAACAAGAACGGAACAAACAAAACAAAAACGAATTTAATCGTAAATAAATTTACATTTTATTTTATTGCACCGTTTAATAAAAAATCATAAATTGAAATTCCTTTGCAAATGTGACGCATCCAACGTGAGTGAAACGCCCGAGCTCAGTTGTCATGAAGTTGCAATAGCAATGCGCTGACATTAGATTTTGGATCTCAGGAGTTTTTTTTTTAGGTTACTGTACTATTCAGGAAATTATGAAAAAAAAAAAAAAACAACCTATGAAAAAAATGTAGCATTAATGTATGGTCAGACAACTCAATAAATTGAACACCAAATATTCAGCCACTCAGTGACCTGCAGCAGTAAAATCACTGTCCCAACGCTTAAACTAGTCAATGCTTAAACTAGTCCCCAGACTAAAATGCATGTTTGAGTGGTTCTAACTGAAAGCAACTTGCATTGATCTACCTTAAAATATGTCAGAGCCATTGTTTTGTCTCAAGATGCACCTCTAATTTTTTTTCCCAAAGGCATGGTTATAAAAGCTACTTAAATATCCTAAATGAACTAAGGTCTAATCCTGGGTTAATCTAAGCCCTGTTTGTGAAACCAGACCTTTACGTGTGAATCAATGAGGCCTAATTTTTCCACAATACCCAAACAAACCAGTCACTGAAATAGTTACGGTATCAGGCCATCCAAATATTCTAATTCAGAGAAATGTGTTCTGCCTCTGATTTCCTCATCAGGGATGTGCCCTGGGATGTGTCAACCAGAATGTTCGGAAAGGAAATTGTGCACTCTATGGATCCGCAGAAAGGACATGGTGATGGTAAAAAAAAAAAATCGAGATGGGAGGAAAAAAATATATTTCAATGTTTGTGTTCCCTCAAAATTATATAGTCGGGTAATTAATTTAAGGGCATCAGAGAGTCACTAATCAATACACACAGGGTACTGAAAATCGCTTTTGAATGCACGCTCACTTTTTACTTTCACTTTCCAATTTGTGATCATATACTGTGTTTAGGGAGTAGAGTACTGACCACACATTTTACAATATATGATATTTATCAATGATGCTAAGGATCTGTTGTGCTTGTCCTGTCAGTCATCTCTCCTTACTGTCTTCACATGATAAGTGAAATATGATGTACTGTAATGCAATAAACAACCACAGCAAGCTTAACAATGTGCCCTTTAGGGCTCAGTATAGTGTTTTTGTTCTTTTCCAGATTCAGATTTAGGCTTTGGGCACATCCCTCCCTATTCCTCATGATCTAAAGCAGCGTTTCTTAAAGGGGTCATATAATGCCATTTTTGTACAAGTTAATATGAATGTTTAGGGTCTAAATGAAAACTTTGTAATATACTTTTATTAAAAATTCTCATTAATAATTTAAGAAAACATTTTACCTGGTCAAAATCAGCTCTTGTTTTCAGGAAGCCGTTTCAGTGCATATGCCTTTAAATAATAAACCCCGCCCCTCTTTTCAGCGGGGGTGAACGCACCTGGAGTGTTGCCTTGACAACAGTTGAAGGTTTTGGAGAGAGAATGGCAGCGGAAGTCTCTGAGGACACATCTGTGCAACCCTATCAGTTTGAACCGGAGTCGCACCACAAAGAAGTTTGACAATTAAAGGACAAGTTCGGTATTTTACAATTAAAGCCCTGTTTTAAGATCGTTTCTGATTGTGAATGGTTAGGATTATTTTTTAGACAGATGCTGCGGTCACAAGAATTTTTGGTTTCTGTGTTTTAATTTCCTTAAAAAATGACCAAATTTGAAAGTTGAGACTTTGTTTCATATTATAACCTGGTCTGTCCTGTCTGCCAGCACTTTGTCAGTGTCCTCTCTGCTCTGCCATGTATTTCTCACTGTGTGAGAACATGGTGGGGCGCGAGAGCACCGATGATTGTCGTACATAACAACAGTAACTAAAGGGGGCGGGTCTTTGCAAACGGTCAATTACATCCAACAAGAAGACAAACTACGAACTATAACTATAAAGCCATACACCAATTACTCTGCTCAGTAATCCATTTTGCAAAGCAGCATCATCATCTAAAGATTACGTTGTGGGGCTCCATAATTAAACCAGATAAGCCGATTTTAGACGAGACACCTTTTATCATGCAACCATAGACCCCCTAGAGATGTTCCCTTTCTGCAGAGTGATAATATACAAAAACTAAAGTTAAGAAAAAATAAATCATCAACACTAGGACACTTTCCTCTGTATTCAAACTGCTTCTAAAGGCTCGATGTTTAGCTCTGGTCATTTGGGAGACAATAATACACAAGACCTCAACCTCAATATCTCAAAGTACTTGATTTTTTTTTTGTTTTTTATAAAGGTGCAATAGCTAACTACACATTTCAGGATTTAGTATCAGACAAATGAGCCAGAACATAAATAAAACCATGCCAAAACAAAACCAACAAAGACATTCTGATATATCTAAGAAGGACAAAACATATCTAAACATAAATGTCTAACATTCAATAAAAACGGCAAAACAAAAATGAAAAATGTGTCCATGAGACCGGTCATTCACAGTCCCCAGCTGTAGAGCCTCCATTCAGGCCGGAAGGTCTGGAGAGCATCAGCTGTTACGGGACTTCTCCATATGCAGGAACTGACTCCTGTTTCTCATGTGGGTCATGGATCTTTGGACTAATCAGACAACTGTTTTACTAATGTTCTAGGCAGATGCAAGCACACAAAACAATACAGTGTAAAATGTAAATACTTTTAAATGAGCCGAATGAATCATGTGCTATAACTGAGGGGTAAAGGTTAGGGCAGAAGAAGAGATGGCGTCACTGATTAGAAGTGGAGTCTCTAGCTCTTCAAACTTAAGAACACTTGTGTGGGTCAATAAGAAAAGCAGTTTCAGGTCTACAAGTACACTCCATCCTTTCTCTGCTTATTGGTATAATGTAAGGTAACACCTTATTGCTGTAGCGCTTTCATAAAACTTGAAACGAAAAAAAACAAAAAAAACAACAACCCTAAAGCAGACCAAAGAATGTCATAGCATTTCATCATGGAACAGGTGCCATGTAAAAAAGGTCCACATTCACACTGGGCATTGATTCTGACAAAAATTGGCATTAAATTACCAGACAGCCTCCTGTATGAATGCAAACCTTAGCATTGAAAGTTTTCTGAAGTTTATAATCATAATTTTTCTCGAATCCAGTGCCTGGTGTGTGATTAGGCTTTATAAATTCCCTCGCTGAAAACCATTGGAACCATTTTGAATCATCCATTTATCAGTTGCTTTAGATTCTCTATGCCAATTTCACACGAATAAATTTTTTGAAAAACTATTCTGAACATAAATAGCTATTCCAAGTATGGATTTAAAAGGATTTGGGATATATTGCTAATATATTTGGATCACACAAAGGGATCACACTTGGCAGGTTTGATTTCATTTTAATAAACTCTGGTGGGAATGCTCTGTTAACGCAGTTCATTTGAACAAGTGTAACAACACTGCCATCTGAACATTAGTATGCACCATTAATGTTAATGTTTGCTTTGCTAACGTTAGACAAAATAGTTAGTGAAAAAAAAAACAAAACAAAAAAAACAGGAGCACTGTACTGTATATCACAAGCTTTCACGAGTCTGGTGTGCAGTGGCTCTGCCAAATGCTGTTCTACTTAAAGACTGTGTTACCAAAGTAATAGGCTGGCATGCGACAATGACATGTAAAAACAAACATTGGTTTATTATTCTGCATGCCAGTAGTATGGCTTCTTCACATCCAAGTTGACAGTTCTTTTGCGCAGTCAAAAGTCAGGCTTGTAAAACTAATAGACTAAAGTGATAAACATATCTGCTGATGCCAATGCTTTAACAATACCAAAAATCAGCCAGAGATCTTTGTCAAGGTTTCAAACACTTGGGACTGAAGTATTCTGACTTTAAACCTTTCAAATATATCAACTAATAGGCTACATAATACACAAGTCAAATTAATACTTTTATTCAGCAAGGATACATTTAAATGGACAGTACAGACATTTACACAAAATTAAAAACACAATTACACATTTAAAATACATATTTTTTATATAAAAAGTTCAAAAGAACATTTATCAACATTTCCAAAACAACAGCACCACCATTTAGCTGTTATAAGAAATGTTACTTAAGAACCAAATTAGCATATTATTACAATGTTCTTAATTCACACTATTTGTACTGTATTTGTATCAAATAGCCAACAACAAACCTATAAGAGCAAAAGAAGCCTCTTTCCAAAACATTTAAAAAATCTTGCCAACCCCAAACTGTAGAGATGACAAATGGCAGTTTTATTGTTTTAATATTTGTAACATTATTAAATTAAAAAAAGATATATATATATACATAAAAGATATAAAAGATATAAAAAAAGATATATATATATATATATATATATAAAGATATAAATATAAAAAGACAGGTTTGGCACTGAGGTTTGTCTCACGGAAGATAAAATACATGAAAGCCTTAAGGCAACCAGACACACCTCGTTTTGTTTGACTAGCAATATTTGTACTTCATGCCATTTCAACATTGAACAAAGAACAAGATTAAAAGCAAATGGAAAGACTGAAATCAGAGAAGGACCAGAATAAGAACAAACAATTTGTTCTTTAACTACATATAAAGCAGACAGGAACCAAATTCCCTATCAAATCACTGCGTGTCTGTCCAGGAACCTGGCCATTCAGTCTAATGATAGCAGTAAACACCGAACAACAGT